ACACAAATTGGAGTCCAACTGATTATATACGTAGTTCCTAATTTTATTGTCACGTGATGATCCGTTTTTGTTGAACTTTTTTCACCGTGAAATTCACCTTGTTCAGTATAACCTGCAGTACAGTACAACTATGCAAGATATGGTTATCTAGAAAGTTTAAACATAATTCCCCTTATCCCTGGTTAGTATTAATAAGAAATTTAGATTACTGACGTATGAAACACCTAATCAAGCTCGACTGCTCTTAACAATTAACAAAACAATATCATGATATTAAACACAGGATGGGTGCTACAAACATCTTACGAACATTTCACAATATGTCGGCTTTCTATGGTGGCAGATTTTTGTGGTTGTGTTTAAATGGATGGTGGAATGACGGCAGAAGATGACTGTTGAAGGAGGTCAAACTTATACGTTTGCGTGCATGGTACGTAGTGTTAGAATATGTTTGCTCTAATATCTTCAATAAGATTTATCAAATTGGAAAGATGGAATTGTTTCGACACGTTTAATACAATGTACGTATATTGTTTTTCTATAAAGTAAAATTTGATATTAGTATTTGTTCTCATTCTATTTCATATCGATGTAATGCACTACATTGTGTCAAAGGCTGGGTTATGTATAGTGTACAGTTTCCTCAGCAAAAACGTAAATGCAAATGTATATCGAGGAGGATAACAACAGGAACAACTAAGACTAATAAACGGCAGAACATGACTGAAATTTCGCCTCTGATATTGTGAACGGATGTTAAATGGTAAATGCCTATAATCAAGCTTCCATATATGTCTCATATCCCTTATAATAATAAACTCAAATATTTATGACCCGTTGATCTCAAGTGAAACTTACATTTTAAAGGAGACGCATAACACATGTGAATAGATCAATGTGTAATTGATTAACTTGACCTTTTAATTTATTGAAGTGTTGTGGTTTTTTTTTACCAGTCTAACAAACCTAATGCGTAAATGTGTAATGTAAGGCATAAAGGTAATAAGCAAAGTGCATTAACTGGAACCTGGCATTGATGAACGAGCACAAATTATACAGATTTCTACGCATGCTTATCAAATTACAAACGTTTTGGTAGAGATCATGATCATAAGTAGAAGTATCAGAAGTTTGTTAATTAATTTAACTGTGCTTCAAACGTTGACGCCATTTTATTCGTGATAATCAATTCCCCCAACTATATCATATCTTTTAAATTCAGTTCTGCCACCAGTGTCGGGTGAAACCAGTAGTTAAACCTAAACCAAACGACGAAACCAAATATTACAAGCAAGTATTACAAATCTCATCACCCCAGAACTGGTGATTTTGTTTATCTTAAAGGTATATGTAATTGATAACTTGAAAAAATAAGATATAAATAGCAGCAAATCATTGTTTTAGTGTTTAAAAAATTAATAAATCCTAAATTTGCGTTTTCTTTGTTATATTAAATGTAAACAGAAGGATCGATATGCAAATTCTATGCATTATATTTACGTCCTTGTATGATCCTGGCAGTTTCGAAGACGATTAACAAGTATTAAAGGTTATGTGATTTCGCATGTTATCGATATTTACCGAAAAGTGGAAGGAAGGGAGATAATTCGAATATACCTCTACCACGGCTGGGGGAAATCATGGAAGGGTTGATTGTCAATTGACAATTGAAACTGTATAAATCATTTAAAATATATACGTCTTATAGTCGATAGTAAAAATATAAATCGAAGCTGTTTCTGAACCTCTCGTTGACGCAATATAGCATTGTTCATAATGTAGCGAACTGTAATTATTTAATTGTTGAGTTAGCCTAAAAAGTTAAGGTGTTGGACACAGAAAACATTTAAAAATATTGTAAAGAAATAATAGAAATAACACTTGTAACAAGTATATATTCTTTAAGGATTGACTTTTGTTTTGGTCGATTTCATGGGGTGATGAATTGAGTTGTTCTTGAAACCAATTTAATGAACTGCGAAGCAACTCAATTCATCACCCCATGAAATCGACCAAAGCAAGATTCAATCCTTATATTTCAATCAATGTGGTTTTTTTTCCTATTTTGTGAAGTCCATTCTGATCGTTTGTCCCAGGTTCTGGAGCTTGTGCAAGTCTACGTATTGCCGTAATGTAAATACAATATAGTCCGTCATTGAAGGACCATCATACAACATGATGGTATACGTTGATAGTTCAATACAGCCAAATTATGTAAAAACAAAACACAAAACATATTTTAAATGTCATATTTAATTTTTTGTTGATAAATTCATAAGATATCACATTTTCTGATGCGTCATCGCGGAAGAATAATGTTTAGACGCAGTGCACAGGCTCAGCTTCGAATCGACGGCAGCCATGTTTTTACTAGCTCGATATGGAGATGCGCTAAATTTCAAGGTTCGAGATTTTCTGGAATGTGAAGCTGAAGTAATTGAATGTCGAATTAGACAGGAAACCAGATGTGGCTTGAAAGGACGAAACATTTGATATGACATTCGGCTGTTCGACGGTATTTTGAATATAAGACGGGACCACATGGATCTACCACAGGGCTAATCTGGTTCGTTACAAATGTCTGAAATACACATATGCTATACTGATATAGGTCACAGCACACATACGCTTACAATTATACACATATGCTATACTGATATGGATCATAGCACACATAAACATACATATGTATGTATATGTATGTGTGCTGTGACCCATATCAGTTATAGCATGATATGTGTATTTCAGACATCTGTAACGAACCCTTGTGGATATGCGTTGTTTTCAATTTGTACAGGGGGTTGATACTTACAAAAGGCAGAATGGGAAGCTGGAGGGAGAATTTCTAGTGTAGTACATGACTTGTCACTACCGCTAGCAACCGTGAACTGATAATATTTTACTGAATTATCGTTTTTGGTTGTTTGAACAATTTCTTGTGTTGCTTTAATACAAATGTGAATTCTCATCAAGTGGTTTCTTTGTTTTAAAACATGTAAATAGTTTTCTCCCTTCGCAAAATCATACGCACAGGCAGTGCTAATCTGGTAAAATTCATCGGCAAATGAAACAGGTTACGTTTGGTAGTTGCATTGAGTCCAACTTGAGTAGGAATTTAAATATATATATATGATATATTTACATGAATTCAGTGTTTGTAAGATATCAAATGATAAAAACAAATTACTATAGTAGAACCATCCTGTAACGTGTGGTCACCGAAGTTAGAATTAACTTATGACTCTTCAATGTCATACAACAAAGTCAAAGGAAATTTTTATTTAAATTGTTAAACCATTGTGTGATTATTTTTTATAAAATCTCCCCACTGGTAATAAAGAACTTTACATCTACACACGGTGATATATGTTCAATCATTGGGTGACTACAGCATGAAAATATTAACAAAATCTCAAAGTATTGCTTCAGTTTGGCTAGTGTGTTTGTACAATAGGTGGTACAAGTTTTCGACGGCATTATAAGTATTAAACATTTTGATTTTGAGTCATCGTAATTCATTCTGAAATACAATAAAACAATTTCGTATGCAGTATAACTTTTTAAACTGTTTATCAACAAGACCATGTGACCGCCTGTTACATAATTTGTGCAAACATTTTCAACTTTCTACTCCAATTCCTCTCGGCAAGAATGATCTTAAGATTCTGCATTTTTGCAGTTTAATCAAATTAATCAAAATGCAACGAGTCTTGAAAATACAAGACAACTGTGTGTTGTGACCGCATGTATTTGTCTTCCATTCATTATTAAAACTTTGATTGAATACCGTAATTATCCCGGAATAAGATCCTGTACGGTAATAAACACACCCGACCTTTACAGCGGCTTTATACTTATGGAATATCTCGTATAAGCCAATACGATTTTATTCCTTCTATCAATCAATTTACCTTTATTCCTTCTATAAGCTAGTCTTACCTTTATTCATTCTATCAATTAATATACTTTTATTCCTTCTATAGGCCAATATTACCTTTATCCCTTCTATCAATCAATTTACCTTTATTCCTTCTTTAAGCTAGTCTTACCTTTATCCATTCTATCAATCAATATACCTTTATTCCTTCTATAAGCTAGTCTTACCTTTATCCCTTCTATCAATCAATTTACCTTTATTCCTTCTATAAGCTAGTCTTACCTTTATCCATTATATCAATCAATCTTACCTTCATTCCTTCTACAAGCCAATCTTACCTTTATCCCTTCTATAAGCCAATCTTTCCTTTTTTTATTCTATCAATCAATATACCTTTATTCCGTCTTTAGGCCAATCTTTCCTTTATCCATCATATCGATCAATATACCTTTATCCCTTCTATAAGCCAATCTTTCTTTTCCCCTTCTATCAATCAATATACCTTTATCCCTTCTATAAGCCAATCTTTCCTTTTTTTATTCTATCAATCAATATACCTTTATTCCGTCTTTAGGCCAATCTTTCCTTTATCCATCATATCGATCAATATACCTTTATCCCTTCTATAAGCCAATCTTTCTTTTCCCCTTCTATCAATCAATATACCTTTATTCCTTCTATAAGACAATCTTACCATTATTCCTTCTATAAGCCCATCTTACGTTTAACCCTGCTATCATTCAATATAACTTTATCTCTTATATAAGCCTATATAGCGTTTGACCTTCTTTCAATCAATATAACTGTATCCCTTCTTTAAGCCTATATATAAAACATTTATCTGTTCCTTAAGCCAATCCTACACGCGTGAACCCATACTTCATAGTGGTCTCTCTGGGCTTATTACAAGATTGGTACTGTATTCCAACAGTTTTACTATCCTTAATGTCGTACTCATATTTCTGTCGCGGGTTTCACCGAATCCTGTTATGATGTTTCCTTGAGTCCGTTAGAAATCAGAGTTGGCTATCTTGTTTCAAATCTCATGGTTAAATTTCACATTCTTAAATCCGTAAGAAATCAGACAGGATCATCATTGTTTCATATCTCATGTTGTATTTCCTGCAAAATGGTTAAGTTTCCTAACCAACATTGTTACATGTACGACCATGCTTCCATGTCATGTCAGACGCAATAAAACCTTTCAGATATGTGGTGTTTTTTTATTGGCACAGGTATATCAAGTTGATACTCAAAAGTAATAAAAAAAACAGTTCCTTCTTTTGGCGGATATCACACCATTAGTATTTATATGTTAATAAAATCAGTTTCTCAAGTACATTATTCTCTACAAATGCTATTATACTTCCTGCAAAACAGCTGCTATAAGATAGGAAATGTCGTAACTAGTGATAAAATCAACCAATGGACTGTATTAAAACACATGTGGAAATGAAAACACACAAACTATAAATGTAATATATATTATGTATAAACAAAAAAGCTATGGGCGAAGTGTTAGATCTTAAAAGAGCTGTTGCCATCAACATCCAGATATAGTCTTTTGCTTGCCATTCATTTCTATTGAATGTTCCATTCAGAGCGTCCCTTCATAATCCTGTTACCACAATGGATATTATTGCGATGGCGAATACAACAATGACACCAAGCAGACAGCACATGACTTTTAAACCAGACCCGTCCACACTGAGGTCCTTCACCATTTCATCCCGTCGTGCCAGTGCCTTAAACACAAAAACATAAACATTTAAAAATACGTGTAGTTTAGTAAACACTGCTATCTCGAGAAGTCTTAGATTGCAGTGCATCGTTAACATGCAGAATGATATGTATTGTTGATATGTACGTGTGTTACTCATTGCCCTTTTTATTTGCTGACAGAGATTCAAATGATTTATTTTAACTACAAGACAAATACTTTTAATTGCATTAGTATTTTAAGAATATCTTATGCATATTTTATTGGTGAAATTAAAACGAAAAATCAATAAAATATATATAATGAGCGTATGGTGAAATATATACATGTAACTCAGGATTCTATATTATTGAAGATAATATTACTTAACTGATTTGGCCTTTGTCAATTATTTCCCCTACCAGTTTGTCTTCCCTCGTTATCTATTCCACCTTAATACACCTTAAATGTCGATTGTATCTTCATTTCAGAAATTAGAACTATTATGATTTATTTTCTTCACAATTAACTGTCGAATTACTTATCTGACAGATTTATCGAGTGATACTACAGCGTCAAAGAAAATGTGGCCTGGGGTGTCCTTTGTCAAATGTGCAAAATTATGCTTAATGCAACACTTTACAACGATAAATCTAAATACTATCCTTGGTTGAGAATTGCCTGGAAGGAACTGGTACATGTATTCAAAATTGCAAGTTTATCGGAAAATTCTGAAAATCACTAATAGGTAAAGAAGTTTCATATCATTTGCGCTTTACTCCGATACATGGAGCTATTGATATATATCTTTTCGGAAAAAAATCAGCTAAATATAGGTATACTCTAATATGCTCAAATATTGCCAGTTACACAATGCAAGTGCACTGGAAATACCAATATATTAACTGTTCATGCCTTTACCTAATAACAAGATATTCTATTCTTGTTTGTGTTTGTGGGAGCCACTCCCAGAAGTAACACTACAATCAACAGTAAGGTATAGTAGCACACTTGTATAGTTGACAAGACATTGTTGGCCAGTTAGAGCGTTGATTTCTACTGTAAAAAAGCAAGGCTTCCTTAATATAGTTTTTATAGACTTATTCATTATATAAAGTAGATAAATTCTTCCCTTCCTTATGATCAATATAAGAAAACAAATTGTATACGCAGTTAAAAGTGCATAAAACATGATTGTAAAGTAGGAACAAAATAATGTGTAATTACGTGTTAAGTAAGATATCCTAACAGTAAGTTCATATCCACCATGTAATGTTTCCAATTAAGCTGACCTATCAAACAGTTAATTCGCATGTCCACACTTTTGAGCAACATCGAAAACTCTTGTGTTCATATTTTTAAATTTGCTATTATGCTCCCAATAGAATAACAAATAATGCTAGTCTTGGTTTCAGGAGTATACAAAAACTAATGGTAGCACGGTAAATGAACAAAAGATTCGACCATTTTAAACAAATAATTTGTGTGATGATTACATAACTACATTTAGTATGTTTTTTCAGTGTTAAATTGTGTACACTGTAGCTGTAATGTACAGGTTACGTATAGTGTTACATTGTGTACACTGTAGCTGTACTGTACATGTTGCTTACAGTGTTACATTGTGTAACTGTAGCTGTAATGTACAGGTTGCGTACAGTGTTACATTGTGCAACTGTAGCTGTACAGTACAGGTTAGGTACAGTGTTACATTGTGTACACTGTAGTTGTATTGTACAGGTTGCGTACAGTGTTACATTGTGTACACTGTAGCTGTAATGTACAGGTTACGTACAGTGTTACATTGTGTACATTGCAGCTGTATTGTACAGGTTGCGTACAATGTTACATTATGTACACTGTAGCTGTATTGTACATGGTGCGTACAATGTTACATTGTGTACACTGTAGCTGTACTGTACATGTTGCGTACAATGTTACATTGTGTACACTGTAGCTGTACTGTGCATGTTGCGTACAGTGCTAATTGTGTACACTGTAGCTGTATTGTACATGTTGCTTACAGTGTTACATTGTGTACACTGTAGCTGTACTGTACAGGTTGCGTACAGTGTTACATTGTGTAACTGTAGCTGTACGGTACACGTTGCGTGTAGTGTTACATTGTGTAACTGTAGCTGTACTGTACAGGTTGTGTACAGTGTTACATTGTGTACACTGTAGCTGTATTGTACATGTTACGTACAGTGTTACATTGTGTTCACTGTAGCTGTACTGTACATGTTGCGTACAGTGTTACATTGTGTACACTGTAGCTGTACTGTACATGTTGCGTACAGTGTTACATTGTGTACACTGTAGGTGTACTGTACATGTTGCGTACAGTGTTACATTGTGTACACTGTAGGTGTATTGTACATGTTGCGTACAGTGTTACATTGTGTACACTGTAGGTGTATTGTGCATGTTTCTTACAGTGTTAATTGTGTACACTGTAGCTGTATTGTACATGTTGCGTACAGTGTTACATTGTGTACACTGTAGCTGTACTGTACATGTTGCGTACAGTGTTACATTGTGTACACTGTAGGTGTATTGTACATGTTGCGTACAGTGTTACATTGTGTACACTGTAGGTGTATTGTGCATGTTTCTTACAGTGTTAATTGTGTACACTGTAGCTGTATTGTACATGTTGCGTACAGTGTTACATTGTGTACACTGTAGCTGTACTGTACATGTTGCGTACAGTGTTACATTGTGTACACTGTAGGTGTATTGTACATGTTGCGTACAGTGTTACATTGTGTACACTGTAGGTGTATTGTGCATGTTTCTTACAGTGTTAATTGTGTACACTGTAGCTGTATTGTACATGTTGCGTACAGTGTTACATTGTGTACACTGTAGCTGTACTGTACATGTTGCGTACAGTGTTACATTGTGTACACTGTAGCTGTACTGTACATGTTGCGTACAGTGTTACATTGTGTACACTGTAGGTGTATTGTACATGTTGCGTACAGTGTTACATTGTGTACACTGTAGGTGTATTGTGCATGTTTCTTACAGTGTTAATTGTGTACACTGTAGCTGTATTGTACATGTTGCGTACAGTGTTACATTGTGTACACTGTAGCTGTACTGTACATGTTGCGTACAGTGTTACATTGTGTACACTGTAGGTGTATTGTACATGTTGCGTACAGTGTTACATTGTGTACACTGTAGGTGTATTGTGCATGTTTCTTACAGTGTTAATTGTGTACACTGTAGCTGTATTGTACATGTTGCGTACAGTGTTACATTGTGTACACTGTAGCTGTACTGTACAGGTTGCGTACAGTGTTACATTGTGTACACTGTAGCTGTACTGTACATGTTGCGTACAGTGTTACATTGTGTACACTGTAGGTGTATTGTACATGTTGCGTACAGTGTTACATTGTGTACACTGTAGGTGTATTGTGCATGTTTCTTACAGTGTTAATTGTGTACACTGTAGCTGTATTGTACATGTTGCGTACAGTGTTACATTGTGTACACTGTAGCTGTACTGTACAGGTTGCGTACAGTGTTACATTGTGTACACTGTAGCTGTACTGTACATGTTGCGTACAGTGTTACATTGTGTACACTGTAGGTGTATTGTACATGTTGCGTACAGTGTTACATTGTGTACACTGTAGGTGTATTGTGCATGTTTCTTACAGTGTTAATTGTGTACACTGTAGCTGTATTGTACATGTTGCTTACAGTGTTACATTGTGTACACTGTAGCTGTACTGTACAGGTTTCGTACAGTGTTACATTGTGTACACTGTAGCTGTATTGTACATGTTACGTACAGTGTTACATTGTGTACACTGTAGCTGTATTGTGCATGTTTCTTACAGTGTTAATTGTGTACACTGTAGCTGTATTGTACATGTTGCTTACAGTGTTACATTGTGTACACTGTAGCTGTACTGTACAGGTTGCGTACAGTGTTACATTGTGTACACTGTAGCTGTACTTTACAGGTTGTGTACAGTGTTACTTGTGTACACTGTAGCTGTTTTGTACAGGTTGCGTGTAGTGTTACATTGTGTAACTGTAGCTGTACTGTACATGTTGCTTACAGTGTTACATTGTGTAACTGTAGCTGTACTGTACATGTTGCTTACAGTGTTACATTGTGTACACTGTAGCTGTACGTTACAGGTTCCGTACAGTGTTACATTGTGTATACTGTAGCTGTACTGTACAGGTTGCATACAGTGTTACATTGTGTACACTGTAGCTGTACTGTACAGGTTGCGGTTCATTGCAAGTTGCACAGATGAAGGATGTATCGATTAATGACCTACAAGTATCTAGCTTGAAGCTAATACAGGTATGGTTTTTTTTCTAGAAATGGCCTTGCATGATAGGAAAAGTTTATAATCGGCTGTTTCCTTCTACTGTCACGTATTATATTCGTGCATGTATGATTGAAGACAAAACAATTGTAACACGTGTACATATTAAATATACTCAACATAATCATTTCCATAAAAAAACAGTCCGTGAGATTACTGTTGTTGTAAAGAGCAGATTTAAGCCCGTACATCTTAATGTTAATAGTGTCATGCCACAGACATATTCAATACAGAAACATTACAAAACGAAGGAGCTCATTTGCGTCATTTGGATGTTCTGTGATAATTTTTGAATTAATGTGAATAGGTTTTTGTGATTTTTCGTCAAACAAAATTGTGTGGTGGGTGATTACATGTAATTATCAGGAGTATTACTTGTTTTTATTTTGTTTAAAAAATCGAACTTTATCATTAAAGGATCACTTGTTCAAAACAAGTAGAATTTGTGGTTTGATTCCATCAAGGAAGCCGTCCCCTGCAGATTCAGGGGAAATGGCCCTGATGTATCCCACTACATGTCGTAAAATAGTCACTAATACGGGGCCGCTGCAGAATCAAGGGCTTTCTTCATTGTCTTCTACTAAGGGGGCACTGAAAAACACATTAGATCTGCTGTCCCTTTAGCAATATTTTGGATATTTGATTGCTTTGCTATTCGTAAAAAACGTTTTGTTACCTAATGGCA